CAGTGGACTGCGATAGGCTGATGATGATGACGTAGGTACGTGTAAAGAATCGTTATAAAAAATACATCTGAAACTATTAGACCAATTTTGCTATTTTTAACTGACTTCAAAAATAGAACGACGATCAGATCTCTGTTATTTATGAACCAATTTGAAAAATTCTTATTTGCTTGTGAGGGTCTACCGTCTATTAGATCTTGTTTAAAAAAAAACAAGTCGGGTTAAAAAATTTATGCATGAAGAATACGATTTATTACAATTCATCACGATGTAATCGAATAAGGACGATGATACTTTTTAAAATTTGATTCCCACCCAAGTGTTGGTTGTGGGCTTCGGTTTCCGCATTTAGACTCAAGAGTGGTCCTTTATGCGTCGAGGATTGGTTAGCTAGGTGAGCCAACCAAGCTCCTTCCAGAAGCGCAGAAGCCTCCTGGGGCGTTCACAGGCTTCTAGGAGCGATCTAACTCAGGAAAAATAATTCTGTGATAAGCACGATCATTTGTCTGTGTCTGGATGTAACATGTATCATCATCAACAGCCTTTACTAGTCCACTGCTGAACATAGGCCTCATTATATTTAGAAATATTTAAGTATGTTTATCAGCAGTCTGATTACCATGATGATTACCACCAAAATAATAATTATTCTCCTTTCTTTAAACTTTTCAAATATGATAATGAACATAGTGATATTGTGGTAAATGGCAGTAGGCTTACTAAGCAGAACCGATTAAAAAACAATATTACAAAAAATATGTGTTTTGATCTCTATGAAAATTGTGTTGTAGCGTATGACGTAATATTACTTTAGTTAAGTTTACTTAAGTAAAGATTACCATAGCACAGGCTCTGCTTAGTTTGAGATAAGTCGGCCGTGTGTAAAACTTTAAAAGATATTATATTAATAGATACTATAATTAAATATATAGATTATAGACACGGTAGAGTTTTAGCAGGAAAGTACTGTCTCTGTTTTTTAACACAACACATGATTGTATGTTGCCCAATCCTCAACCAGGCAGAGCCTTTATTATAGCTACTGGATTGGTAAATATACTTATGTATACAATACTTAAAATATTAAATAAAACCCACACGGAGCAAATTATCTTGCTCATCATGCAATTATTTATGGGCGGGGATTGAACCCACGACACGAGGCTCGTTAGTATTTTTGGAAATAATTTCACAACTCAACAAACAACAACATGACGTCTCTGTATAGGTATATAGTACTATGTCTATTCGTATATTTTCTTTTACATAGCTGCTTGAGAACGTAACTATGCCACTCTGGCATAGTTACGTTGCATATATGCATATATGCAAAATTTAGATAGATAATACTGTATTTGTACACCAGGGTTTTGAACATTATAAAGTAATTAACAACAGATGTAATGTACAAAGCGCGGCCTTATCGCTTAGAGCAATGTCTTCCAGCCAACCTTTAAGTGGACTGGATTCATTTTAAACTGTTGATAGGTATACAGAAATTAGACAAATAAATAAGGTCTTAATAACCTATGAAATATTTATCATACAAAAATCCTATTTATCTATACTTAAATATAAATACTATACATACATACGTTAATTTATAAATAAACTAATTTTTAACTATGAGAGACAGAGAATGTTCATACAGCATAGTCTTGAAGGTAGTTACGGATTGCGCACGTCCGATAGAAACCGGCAAGGCATTAAACAAACGTACAGCTTGAATAAAATGATTTTGTATAGAAATTGGTAGAATGAATTCGTATTTCAAATCTCAGAGGACCTGAGGCATTTAACTAGCTGTTAGAATAATATAATACACTAACTTTTGCCAGCGACTTTGTCTGCATAGTCGTCAACATCAGACGTCGTAGAGGATTCAATGTTGATAGAAAATACAATTATACGGAGAGCATGGAATCGATTAGTTAAAAAAAAAGTTCCCCATACAAACTTGCACCCCTTTTTACACGCTTTATATTAGCTTCACTTGTATGTTTGTTTGTATGTTTGTAACCGACTCCTTTGGGCGTGATTTTGATTGACTTTAAACGGTCAGAATTCGTTCAAACTTTGTAGATATATCGAGGACCGATGACAATAAACTAATTTAAAAAAAAAATGTGAAAAAAATATAGTTTTAAAAAACTAAAAAACACGCTTTCTATAGAAAACCAAACTAAAAAATAGAAAATAAATTTGAAAAAAAGCGTTGGGTGCCTGTTGTCAATAGAAAAAAAAATGGTAGGTTTTTTTTTAAATTAGCAACAACATTTATTTATTACTTTTAATAAAGAGTATTTACTGTGAGTTTTAAAAGGCTACTACCAAAAATAACGAAGTTTCATATAAATTTCTAACCGCCATTTTGCACCCTTTTTTGAAAATTTTCAAAATCCTTTCTTACTGCCTGAGGAACTTTTATGCAAAATTACATGCTTCTAGACCCAACGGTTACAGCTATGCGTTGATTCATCAGTCAGTGAATAAATCGGGCTGTGTCTTCTTTTATAGATATAGATATAGATTATTTTCATGAAATTCAAATTATTAAGTTCAACTACCGTCTGTTCTAAACTTGGTTTTCCAATCATTCGAAATAGTCTACTGTTCATGATACCTTCTATAATCACTCGTAGACGTTATAATGAGTATATGTGGTATTTTTAAATAAATGATGTTTATGTACAATACAATTCCGTGACAAAGAATACGGCATTTCACAACCCCTATTCATCCCGTGGCTGTCGTAAGAGCCGACTAAGGTAGCAAGGTAGAGAAGGAAAACTTGAAAAAAATCGTATATCAACCCGTCTGGCCAGCGTAGTATAGTAGGCCAAAACCTTTCTAAGGAGAGGCCTATGTCCAGCAGTGGACTGTTAAAGGCTATTGATGTGATGATATACAATAAAAGGATTTACGTCCTATTTTATCGTTTATCTTAAATTATGTTTTTCTTCTGTACGAGGCTATGTAACCTAACTCCTCCTAAACGGCTCAACCGATTTGGATAAAAATTTGTTTGTTTATTTTAATGGGTTGCTAGATGGTTTGACACAACACAATTGGACGGTAAATCGGTTAAGTGGTTTAAGCGTGAAGAGGTAACAGACAGACAGATACACTTTCGCATTTGTATGGATAAATAAAATATGAGTTATGGTGATGGATGGTATACTAAATGAGTGCTTAATAAGTATATTTAAGCTAAAGTCACTATTTAAATTATATTCAAATCGATTGCAACTTACTGTTAAATAATATCGATAAATTATATTAAAATAGACATCACTGATTGTCAAAGAGAAAATAATGAAAAATTAAGAAAATTTAGTAACAGATCTGATATACAATGAGTCTTACAAAGTAACCTGAGCATTTTTGTTTGAGTTAGATTTAAGTTAATAAACAAACTAATCCGCATTTTGAATTTGATGGTGTATTACAAGGGATACTCCGAAACAGTTCGAGTAATGGAAAAACAAATATTACGTGACTACATCCAATACAGTTGCCATCGCAAATCATAACGTTAACCCAGAAAAAATCGACAAGAAACGAGTACAGTTTCTACTAATAAAAACTTCTAATAAACATGCAACTAAACAGAGGCTTCCGGGCAAATAAAACATAAAAATATATCCTATTTTCATAGGGCGCGAGTAGGGGGAAGGTGGAAGGGGTGTTTCCCACCCCCATCTGCGCAAAAACCCAAAAACATCGAAATGAAAATGAGTATAAAAGGGGGGTGGGAGGCGCGGCTATGTGTTGGTAATTCATTTTTAACATTATCCCTGTGTGAGTTTTAAAGTACAGTCGCGGAAATAAGTTAATGTGAAATGCTGATTGGGATGCTGGGTTTTGGTTTTTTTTTTAGTTTGTCGTTTAATTAGACTTATGATTGAATCAGGTAAGATAGACTAGACTATCAAGCTGTTAATACAATGTCTGCGATTTGGATTGCACTTTGTATTTGTTCGTAAATAAGTCAGCGTGATATGTTATTCGTCATTCCCAGGTTCACAGTCAAGACATTAAAGAACCGTATGCTTTACTTAAAAATCTAGTATTTAATGTGCTCTTTGAAACAAAAAATTCAATAACAAGAGTATTTTAAGAGCTGCCAAATTTGTTTTTAAGAAACTACGAAAATTATTAAAGTACTAAATTAAAATGCCACGTGGACCAATTTGTAGAGCTTGTGATGAACTGTATAACTTCTTATTTGTTTTTTTTCACCAACTTCTGTTCGAACTTAATTTGAAAGACAACATAATTTGAAAACTAAGTTACAATGTCAAATTATTACTTAATTGCATTATTTCTAGTAATTAGGGGTCCGTTTTCTATTAGATACAAGTCCATTAAAACTAGAAAACCTAAAGTTTTTTAATACCATTTCCTTGTTAACATGAAACATCTAATTAGAAAACTGCTAATAAAATTAACACATATCTCTATTCTAACTTTTATAGTTCTCTAATATAAGGAACTTAGTGGGCGTTCAAAACGATTTACATACGAACATAGGCGGGCATATACACAGGCGGTATGTAAAACCACTTGTTAACGTCCGTTCCAATTCGCGTGGGCCTATTATAATATACCTTGCATACTAAACTTTATGTTACTTTCATTGTTAATGTAATAGAAATTAACTATGTAAATTAGTGTTTTTTTTTTCTAATCACATTCACGTAGCCGAGTGTACAGGCCGCGCTCTCGCATTGTGCTCCCCTACACACATCTACACTAGCGTGAACATAAAACGCAATTTTGTATTAGATTTAATTTGAGTCGCACAAGTCGTTTGTGTGTGTGTGAGTGCGTGCGTGTGCTACCTTCCTACGCACAAATTGATTACGATCGTCGTCGAAAAGAGGAATTTGCATACACGTGGAAAGAGAAAAAAAAACTCTTTCCCCTGAAATATCAATCCATCTCGTAATGTCGCATTAACTTATTTCTTATTTATTTGCTTTAGTATTCAACGTTTGCTAATCAGATACGGATGTAAGTTGGTTCGGCGAGCGCCGCAAAGTTTCAGACTCTTGAACTTGGAAGTGACGTGTGTGCATTCGTGATAGTTCTGTAATAGAGGCATAGAGCGGGGTGCAGGGGCGCAGTGTGCAGTTGCCGCGCGGCCTCCGCGTGCCGCGGCATCGCTTCGAATGAGCGCCCGATTTAAAAACTATAGGAACGAACCCGCGCAGCGAGCGCCCGTAATGCCACCCCCCGCGTAATGATTTTTTGGCGATGAATTTATATTCGCGCGCGAGCGGTGCCACTTTTTCGACCCCCCTACGGACCCCCAACCCCCGCTCATTAACGCAACCCAGATATGCAATTCTGATCTTTGACGAGGAGGCTGTAGTGTCGGCGGGCGCCTCGCCGGGAGAGGTGCCCCGTTTTGTTTTTTCCCGCCTGGCTTCATTATTGATGGCATCGGGACGGTAATGCGGAAGCATGTGTGAACGTTTCATTACAAAAGGTGGACGCGGTTCGTGTTAATATTGCAGACCGGCCGGACCCGACCGGACGGGTGGACGCTTCGGCAAAAAAACTTTTAGAAAATAAAAATAAAAGATATAAAATTAACAGGCACAATTAAAAATAAATAAATTGGATATTCGATTTCGAAAAAAATACCGGTGATTGTTAATTCCGGTATCCGGCCGCGGCGAGTTGAACTATCGGTCGCGCGTGAAAGTTTTCCGTCGAAACTTGGAGTAAACTTTCGTCACGTGCGTGTGTGGACATTTTGAACTAGTCGCCTGACGGATTGGCCGGTCGGTCGCTGACGCGCGTCCCCAAACTCGCTCAAACTCGCACATTTTCTATTTTACTATTGAAATACTTTTATTTGTGGAATATTTTGTCAACATTCGAGTACCGTTTGTTTATTTGTCAGCCGTGTTCAGTTACCGGACGCTCGCTTCTTACACAGTGACTTTGTTGAAATATTGTTTATTGTTTTTGTTGTATTACATTTTTGTGCGCTCAACGGCAGCTAGAAAAAGGTAAGTGATGCATGCAGCTGTCTTTGTTCACAGAAATTTGTTTGAGAAGTTCTCACGTTGGCCAGGAGAATTTAAGAAACCGGAAGTAGAAATTGTGTATTTTTTTGTAAAAATGTTTTTACTTAAATGTAATAAATTAGCATATTAAGAGAGATGGGTCAATAGGTGATTTTATTATTTGAACAATTAGTTTGACCCTCTGTAAACTGTGTTATTATTATGTAAATATTGTTCGGGGAGATGCAGGGGCTAGCTGGCTTGCAAGTGCGTGCCGAGCTCGATATTAGATAAATCTTGCATAAGTAATTAAAAATTGGTACACCATTGCAACTACCGTTGACCTTATTGTTCAACAAACGAGTCGGCGCCAGTTCAAACAGTTTTTATAACTTGATGTGAGATGAATTAATTAAGTTAAAATAATAATCGCACTCATTTAATTATTTTTAATTTATATATAAACTTATTTATTAATTTGTATAAACTCCAACTGTAATCAAAATAAATCATTGTTTTTATTAATAAAAATTAAATTAAATTTTAAAGTTTGATTTAATAAATAATTAAAGTATATCACTATCAAAAATAGAGTATGGCTAGAAATACATTGACCTAGAACCTCGTGTTTCATTTCTATCATTGTAATCTTATCGCAAAAAAATATATTATCTATGTATGTCGCAATACTATTAGTGGCTAGTACATTTTTGCATAAAGAGTATTTTAAATTATAATTCTAAACTCCAGGGACAAATACTAAATTTTATAATTAATAATTTAACATTAATATTTATTAAAGTAATGTAATTCATTTAATTTTTCAATTCACTCTTTAGGTAGAGCCTGTACTATGGTAATTAGACTGCTGATAAACATACTAATATACTGTTAAACTTATTAATTAGGGTCAACAGTACAACTGAGATTTTTTTAGTGTTTTCATCAAAATAATATTCATATGTGCAGTTTACGCATAAAGCGATGCTAGACAAAGGAAATAAAGTTAGCACTTTATTAAAAACCGCTTTTTACAATTGGATGTTGATAAACGATCTATTAATAAAAGCTTTTAAATTATTAATTATTATAAAAAAATGCTAACAATAACTGTCCGTTCCACACGTAACAATTAAGTTTTGCAAACAGATATAATTGCCTGGATTTACACATAGGATTGTGTTCGAATTTAAAAAAAACTTACGAAAAAAAAGCGATGACACAGAAATATGTTGATTCACTTTTTTTAATTAAAGTTTAAATATCTATAATTAGTAAATAAAAATCATCACCTTAATTTGTATCTTTCTAAGTAATTTTAATAATTAATTATTAATTTAACTTATTTAATAAAATAAAACTATATTCAATATAGTTTAGTAGTAATATAAGAAAACCATTACGACTTATAACAAGAAATACCGAACTAATTTGTCCCCATAAATCAGCATGGCTAGTTACAATGGTGTCCAAATACCGTTATGGCGTATTCCCACAATCTGCAAGGCGAGCTCCGATCTCGCAGCGAGCTCGATGCATGCAGACACCCCTTGATACAGGGTGTAGACACTATTGTCAATTCGAATAGTCCATAGATTAGTGAAGCAGGTTTTTAAAAAACATCTCCGCTATTGTTATATTACAACGTTAATTAATTTTGCAGTTGGTCAAACTTTTTATCCCTTGAGCCGTTTATCTATGTATTATTAGAAATGTATCGATGAGTGTTTGTTACTCGATCACGTTAGAACGGCTGAATAGATCTCGATGAAATTTGGCACAGAGATATATTATAGTCTAGAGTGGCATATAGAAAAACGAACGAAGCCGTGAACAAAACTTATTACAGTCAATTTATCAAATTTATTTATTTATTTATTTATAATTTTAGTACTTAATTTTGTATGTATTAGCTATTTACTTCTTTATCATTGTTATTTCATGACTAAAATAATAAATACAGAACCTTCTTGAAAGTTTACGTTCACAGGAACCCATTGGGAACCAAACCAGGGAACACCAATTTATTATAATAATAATCAGATACATCTCACACACAAAACAAATGACACATTATTGGTTATGGGTATAAATCGAACCTACGACCTCTGGCATAGCAGTCAGGGCTACTAACCACTAGACCAATAGACCCGTCTAAATCTATCTACAATAATATTATAAGACCTCGAAGATTTTATTTGTTAACGCTCTAATCTCTGAAATTACAAGTTTTATTTGGCAAAACAATTCATATTTGATAGATTATTTATTGAGGAATGTGACAGGCTATATTACATCTCCACAGCTACCAAAACCGCCGATCAAATTGCAAGCAACGGCTGGTATTATATAAAATTTTATTAGAATTAGGGAATAAAATATATTACAAAGTATTAGCAAAAATATAAAAACTATCACTTAATATTGTTATAATTACCTATAGATACGCAAACTGTACAACAACAGCACACAAATGCATTTATTACACGTATATCAATTGTTTTAAAAAATTATGGCGCATCTCATTTCTTAGATAACGGACGATAATTTTATCTTTGTTACCTACGTTCAGTGTACGGCCAATGTTCTAGTCAGCCAGACCATCGATTCTTTCTACCTATGCATTTATACACAAAATGCCAGACTAGGAAACAAGAAAAAAAAATGGTGACAGACTCATTCGGTCCGCCGTCTCCTTTCTAATCGCGCCCCCACACGCACGCGCGGCTTTTTAATTGCATCCCCCACCCCAACCCCGGAAAAAAGGGCCGAGCACACGATGGATTAGCATACAACCTCAGTGAGAGTACACGGAGCGCACCCCTTCAGTTTTTGCGTGTCGGATCCCGCCATATTTTTCGCGGTTGTATTTTTTCGGGGGGGGGCGCGGGGAGCCTGAAATGTGCGTGCGCGCCGGGCCAGTCGGCTGCCTGCCGGCGAACGCGCGATGTGCATAACCCCGTCCGTGAAACCTAACTTACTGCACTCGTCCGAACCGCAACCTCAAACGAACTTTTTAATTTTATTTATATTTAATGTGACAAAAGTGTTGTGTTGTGAGGATTTTTTAAATATTAAACATAATTAAAACTGGTAAGTTTTTCTATAGTGTCTAGTTTATCAATGTGACGTTAGGACTAGCAAAATTTTTTGGCGATAGCTTGGGAGCAAGGTCGTGCCATAGTGATAAATTTGTTTGCACAAAAAAATGTGTTAGACTTACACGGATAACCTCATTCCGACAAAACGCGCTCTTTCATATCGTATGTTATGCTTCAATTCGTAAATTTTTTAATTTAACGTTCTAGTATTTGAAACCAACTATAAGAAACGTGTTTTAACCCGCTTAGTGTTTTAAAACAAAACAAAATTTTAAATTACATTACTTAACTTTATCATGGAGTTGTAGACACTGTATGAAAATGTATATTATATGTTGCGAAACCAATAGAAACAAACCATACATACATAATACCACACGTTAATTTGAATATTTCAGTAAAATATAAAATAGCTTTAGTTTATACAAGTGTGTCTTAGACGAACAAATTGTAATAACAACCATTAAAATATGTAGTACATATCAAATGCCGCTAATAGTGTTTGACGGTATTAGTGTAGTTTTTTTGAAAAATTAAAATCATCATCTCATAACACACCCAGTGTTGAAAATAGGTCGCTATTAAAACTGTATTTAGTTACTTTAACTAAGAAATGACAACCTAATTAGATTTAATTATGTAAATAACATCAATTTTAACACAAGCTTTCAATTTCTAAAAATAAAAATTTATAAAAGTTTTGTTTAATGTCAACATTTAAAACAAACGAATTTTGAAGTTACCAGCTCTACTTTAATTAAGCCTATTTAGTGATTTTGTATTATTTTGCTAACGGTTATGTTATGCTACGTCTACTTATAATAATACTAATAAAACGGTTTGTAGATTTTTATACAAGTCTAAGAGTAATTTATAATTTGATAATACATTAGTCACAGTGCACTTAATGTCATTCCAAGTTCAAACAAAAATAAAACTATAAACATTGTTTATGGTACATATTTTGTGTTTTACCACGTGATTCCACGGCATTCCCGCCAGAAGCCATTTAAAAAAACAAATGTCAGCGTGTTAGTGTTAGATAGCTGCGATTTATCGAAAATATTTATATAATCAAATTTATAGGCGAAACACAAAATGAAATATTGATATTTTCTATCATTTCAAACTGCCGATGCAAATAGAATTAAATCATATTCATAGTCACGTGTGTTTTACCAGACTTAGTTTCGTTAATTAAATAGTTAATATTTTGACATCCTAAAGATTACAAGTGATGTAATAAAAAAAAAACAAGCTGTACTATATCTAATTTGGTTTAGAAGCGAGAAGAATTCTTCGTGTGTTTATATGCATACGCGCATGGACCTGTATACGTAGATATTTTGT